CAACCTAAAGATGGTCACAGTAAAATATAATATAAACAAATTATGGAAATTTACAACAGAGATAGTTTTAAAAGCCACAAGAGAAAAGCAACTCACATCATCCAAGGGAACTTCCATGTGCCTATCAGAGATTTCTCAGGAGGAGGAAAAGAGAATAATGTCTTCAAAATGCTAGGTACAAGGGATTCCACCTCTTGGGTCCCCTTCTTCCTCCGGGAGAAGTCTTTTCTGTTGTCCTTTAATAAACTTCTAATTTCTACTCTGAAAAAAAAAATGCTAGGTACAAGACTCTCAAGCGAGAATAACCAGTCATTGACCCCACTTTATCTCATGCAATTTCTAAGCTAACTTTAAATAATTATCAAAATTTTGCCAGTTTTTGATCCTCAAAGAATAAAATCATGGGTAATGAGCTCTAGTGTATCTAGTTCTTGCATACTCTTGATGGGTTCTTGAACACAGTAAATTTTCTCACTGGTGTATAGTATTTCATTGCATGCACTTCCCTTCTTTTATTTATCCATTCTACTCTTAATTGGCACTTAGATGATTCAGGTTGCAGTTATCACAGATAATGCTGTGAGGTCCCTGCACAAGGGGATCTGTGCAAATCTGCATGTGCTCTGAGTGGAGGGCCTGGATCATAGGTGCGTGCATGGTCAAACTCAGGTACCACTTCACATTTCCAAACACATGAGCATGTTCTAAATCATTCCCCAGGCTGCTTGATGCTATTTATGGGTCAGTTTTATGGTCTTTCTGTTGAAGGTTTCTGGTGGTTTGTTACAACTTTCACTCTCTGATGATTATTGATGTTGAGCCCACAGTATACACCAGGTGACTCTTTGCATATGAGGTTGACAGAGAACTTTTCCTATGAAGAGATCTTTTCCACAGTTTTTTAGTGTCATCTCTGTCATAAAAACTGGCTGTCTCTTCATTTATCTGACTCTGAACACCAATTCTGTTCCCCTGGGCAGCTTGGCTGAGCTCACCCAGCACCAGGGTCCTGCACACACAGGATAAGAACTCATCATGGTGCTTCTCCTGATTTGCCTTCTTTTGGCTTCATGTCACTCACTGGTTGGTGGAGCACTACTGCACAGAGCAGGACACACACACCTTAAGGGACACCAAATCTTGTGGACTTGATCTGATGGTTGAGTGTTGGGGCTGACAAGGAGAAATAAAAAGGGTGCAGAGGAACTTCTGCAGACCTAGAAAAAAAAACCAGTAGCCCTAAGAGTCTGGCTGCCCCTGAGCAGTGCCCTCAGCAGGTGGAGGCAAGAGGAGGAGCAGCTGGGGCAGCCCAGCCTCACACTTCTCCTCCCTGGGAGGTTTTTGTCATGGCCTGTATCACTGTGGGAGGGTAACTATTATACTGTTGACAGTAATAAGTGGCAAAATCTTCAGGCTCCAGGCTGCTGATGGTGAGGGAATAATCTGTCCCAGATCCACTGCCACTGAACCTCGAGGGGACCCCAGAGTGCAAACGGTTGGTATAATAGATCAGGAGCTTAGGAGCTTGCCCTGGTTTCTGCTGGTACCAGTTTAAGTAATTGCTAATGCCCTCACTAGCCCGGCAACTGATGGTGACTGTTTCTCCTTGAGATTTAGACAGGGAGGTTGGAGACTGGGTCATTGTGATGTCACATTTGGCACCTGCAATAGAGCACATGAGAAGAAATATGCACACAGTTAATAATGTCATAAGAGGATTTCCCTGAACACCAGGCAGCACTGATGAAATTGGTCTGACACAATCCCCAGTGCTGTCCCTTCTCACCTTGGAGGCAGAGGATCAGGAGCCCCAGGAGCTGAGCAGGAGCCCTCATGGCCATTCTGTATCCTGACTGGGACTGATTCCTGCACAGGGTGTGAGCAGCCTCTTAAGAAGTCCTCAGGGAAGTGGGCTGTGTTGTGGGCACATGCAAATCATCAGGGCTGGGCAGGTTGGGCACAGCTGTAGGGAGGCTCCTCTAAGGCCTGGCCAAGTGTCCCCAGGTGTCCCAGCATAGGCCAGGGCAGCACATATTTGCCTAGAGAAAATGTGTTTCCTGAGAGGCACAGGAGAGAACCATCCCTCGTTCCTGTGAGCAGACTGACCTCTTGGTCTCATCAAGGTTCAAGACACATTACTCCTGCTCACTCTCCAAACAAAATGAGGTTCATGAGCTCTGTCACAGCCCCACACCCTTCAGGAGGAGTGACTTACCTCTTCATTTTGATACCTGAGCACAATGTTTATTCCAGAGAGGCTCTTTCAACACCTGACTCCTTGAAGACCTGGGCATGAAAAATTATCAGGGTTACCAGCCAGAAATGCAAAGGGTGGTAAGAGGAAGCAACAGAAAGGAACAAAACACACCAAGTGCAGGCATAGTGGTTGGTAAGGAAGGGAAGGATGTAGACCATGTGCCTGTGCTGTTTCTTCATCCCAGCTGAGCTCTGGTCCTACTCCACTCTGAAGGCTCCAATACTTCCTCTGACTTTGGCTGCCAAGGTCAGGAGTTGGCCCTTCCACACATGAAAAGCCAGCTAACTCCATGTCTGCAGGCTGCATCACCCATCTGTTCCCTGAGATCCTCTCATTATTGCTTGTGTTCTTCCCCCAGCCCCACCTGAGATTTGGCTTCAGAAGCTAAAGGTCTCCTGGACCAGCTGCTTCTCTGTCCTGAGTCTACCATGATTCTTAACCTGTCTTTATTCTGTCACCAAATCTCACCCAGGTCCTAATGGAACCCTGTCCCAGAGGCTGGTGCAAGGCTGGGGACACATGCTTGGTGAGGAGAAAGGTGTGTCAGAGGACTGGGCTGGAAGACCCTCCATGCTACTGCAGCAAAGAGCACACCTGGGTGGTGGAGGGGACACTGGAGCAAGGTGAGGAGGGTGTCCTTTCATGCAGATGGTGTTAGTCAGGTCCCTGTGCAGGTCAAATATGGAGCACATTGAGGAAGATGCACTGTAGTATGGACCCAGTGTGCAGGTGGGGGACATAGGCAGTGGGAGGAGGGCTTCTGTTAGAGTTTACATATGATGTGTCCCCCAAAGTCACATGGGGTGAAGACTTCATTATGGTATTCATCCATTTGATGAATGAATGATTTAAATGATTTTGGGAGGTAGAACCTAGTGGAAAGGAGGACGTCACTGAGATTGTGCCCTGGAGGGTGCTTCTTTACCCTGAGCCCTTCCTCATACCTTCCTGGACCCATGGCTGAGCAGCTTTCCTCTACCCAGCCCTTCCACCATGATACTTATGCCTTGCAGCCAGCTGAATATGGACTGAAACCGTGACCCAGAGTAACTCTTCCCACCTCTAAAGTGTTTAACCACCATGTTTTTTTTTTCACAGTGACGAAAGGCAATTGACACAGCATCCATACCTGTGTGTAAAGAGGGTTGTGCCCTGGCAAGGGTATCAAAGAAGAATCAGGGTACGTTCACGAGTAAGCAGGAGGCTGTCTAATGGAGGGCAGGCCAATGTCAAGAGGTTGCTTTCAGTCAGAGGGATGTTCGTGGGAAACAATGCACCAGAGACAATCAGAGCCATGATTCTCACTTAGGTGGAAGGGATCCCAAAAAAAAAGGGACATCCCTAGAACAAACACAATTTTGACTAGAATCAGAAATATCAGAATAAACTCAGAATTGTATATAGGAATAGATAGGAGTGTGCATGCAGATAGATAAGGAGATGATAGATGTTGAGCTCCATAGATGGGTTGATTGAGAGAGTTATTTACACATTCTCTTTAACCCAGGCACAATAGCCCATGCTCCCAACACACACTCACAGTGCCCAGATTTATTTGCCACTAAAGGAATCTTAGAATAAGAACCCCCTGCACCACCTTGAGTTGGGAACAAAAGAAGTCCTCCCAAAATGATGACACCCTGGCAAAAGTAAAGATAAACTACCAGGAAGGACCCTCTCACTTGCCAGGTCTGGATAATCTTGAGAATCACAATATGTAATTATGCAAACTAACCCATTAAACAAAAGATGATCCATGAGTTCAGCCTGATACTGATACTTTGATGAGGAGTGGGATATCTATAAAGGATTGAGGAACTTTTCAACAATTTCATGTTAACTGTTTTTGAGCTCTATTGTTGGAGATGCATTATAATGAGGACCTTGGGCATGCTAGGTAAGTGCTCTGCCACTTAGTCACATCCCCAGACTCATGCTCATTTCAAATAGACAAAAAGAACTACAGGAGAGAAATCTCGAATATTCCTTTAACCCAGGAATCAATGTGAACATCTGCAGTAGTGAGACAGATTGAAATCAGCTACCATCCACTAGGGAGCCTTAACAGAAGAGCAGCATTTCTAGATATTCCTGCCAGAGATGCTGCAGCTAACTTCTATCATGAGTGGTAGACAGACATCCTAATTGACAGACATTCTCCAAAACAGCTTTGTGAGCTCTCCAAAGGTGGTAAAATCATGAAGTTCAGGAAAAATTCAGCCAAGGCGGGTTTGCAGAAGTTCACAGCTTGTGTCTCCCAGTACAGGGTCCTGTAGCCTGCAGAGTGCTCACAGGGGATGTGCAGGTCCCAGAGCAGCTCTGAGGCAGAGTCCCCATGGGAAGTTACAGCTTCCCATTGAAAGTCCTGAGCTGAGGGGCAGGTGGACAGTGGCGCCTTCCTCTGACCCAAATCCATCTTGAGAACCTCTTTCAGAATTTGATGTTAATAATTTGATTTTCTTGATTCCACGTGATTTGGGTTTGGTCGGCTCTTTTTTTATTAATTTGTTGAACGAAAAACTGGGCTTCGGATTTTAAACTTTTCTTCTTTCTTTACTCTTAAAAACATTGAGAAGGAGGAGGAAGCCCAGCGCCACGCCACACAAGACCAGAGAGGAAGCCTAGCACCCAGCCCCGCCTCCTGGGCTAGTCCAGACGAAGCCCACCAACCCTTAAAACCCATCAAAGGGGGCGTGGCTACCAGCATGGTTCTGCGACTGATCCAGGTACCCAGTTTCCAACTCCCCTACCCGTAGCTGTGATAACTCAAAATATTTCCCACAAGCTTTTTCGGGGGTGTAGCTATCAACGCAAAACAACAACTGTACAGGCACCTGGTTTTCATACTAGAGTAGGGAGGATACAGGTGGAAGCTCATGTCCTTTCACACTGGCTACATCCACCACCCTGAACACAGAGGCTCAAGGTAGGAATAGACAATGTCACCTACTGGAAGAAAGGAAAACAGAGTTCTGAGAGACTTTGTTTTCTCTCTTTTCTTCTCTCTCTTTCACAACCTCAACATATGTGAAACCAAGAAATGTGCATGAACAACTGAATCACCAAAATAATATAATACAGAGGAATTGCATATGCTCCACCTTCCCCCCATTTTTTCTTCTTTCTTTCTTTCTTTTTCCTTCTCTCTTTTGTCTCTTTTCTTCCATGTTATTTTTTTTTATTTTCTTCATTCTTATTTCCTCTATCCCACTTTCAACCCCCTAACTTTTACTATCTATACATAGGATAAGTATCTAAATACAGATAGGAGGTTGAATCTATACATTCTTCCATAAATTACCAGTCTATTGGTTAGAGTTCTCCAAAGTTGCTAAGTTATTTTAACCTCATACCCTCATTCCTTTCCCTCTAAGTATAACATCCTTCATCTGAAATTCAGTTTTCTATATGCCACCAGATATGGTATGCCTTTTATGAAACTAATGACTATATTTAAAAATAATAATTGAAACCAAATATCTGTAGACTTAAATTCTAATTATAAATGTATTAATAATGAAAACTTGAGCTTAGATGATGTACTGTTGATATTGGGAACTGTTAACATTGTCTTTCTCCACAAAAGAGGGATTTTGGAGCTATACAAGAATAATATAAATGTATAAGGGGAAAACCATTTACACAACAGTTTCACAAAGCTAGAAAGAAATATGAGCAGTAAGAAAAGACAAGGAAAGAAAGGACCACAAATAATGCAGGTCAATTCAAAATTAGAAGAGGTAATATCTGCACCTGATGGAATGTCAGATAAAAGAGTTCAGGATATACTGCTTCAGATGATCTGGAGTCTCAAGGAAGACATTATACAGCAAATTCAGACAATGAAAGATCACTTCAACAATGAATTACATAAACAAATCCAAGAAGCAAAAGATCAACTCTACAGGGAGATAGAGGATATAAAAAAAAAACAGTAATCCTGGAAATGCAGGAAACAATAAACCAAATTAAAAACTCAAATGAGAGTATTACCAGAAGAGGAGAACACTTAGAAGCTAGAACATTAGACAATGAAGACAAAGTTTTTCAACTTGAAAAGAACATAGACAGCTCAGCAAGAATGTTAAGAAATCATGAGAAGAACTTCCAAGAAATATGGGATAACATAAAGAGACCAAACTTAAGAGTTATTGGGACAGGAGGGTATCGAGGTCCAATCCAAAGGAATGAGCAATCTGTTCAATGAAATAATACTAGAAAACTTCCCTGACTTAAAAAATGAAAAAGAAATCCAAATACTAGAAGCCTACAGGACATCGAATGTACAAAATCATAAGAGATCCACACCAAGAAACATAATAATGAAGAAGCCCAACATACAGAATAAAGATAGAATCTTAAAAGCCACAAGAGAGAGGAAGCAGATTACATTTACTGGTAAACCAATCAGGATAACGGCTGGTCTTTCAACACAGACTCTGAAAGCTAGAAGTTCCTGGAACAACATATTTCAAATGCTGAAAGAAAATGGAAGAATCATGTATCCAATGAATTAAGCTTCAGGATTGAAGATGAAATAAAAATCTTTCACAATAAACAAAAGTTAAAAGAATTTGCAGCTAGAAAACCAGCTCTTCAAAACATCCTTAGCAAAACATTACAAGAAGAGGA